GCAGATTACTTCCTCAGGGCTCGTGCAGTTGTAAAACTATAAGGAGCCACCTTAGGTGGTTCATAACTTGGCAAGTAGTTTAGAAACTAAGTTTTTTTCATGAAATGACAAGTTTACTATGCACTTATCAGTGGCCATCCCAGGGGTTGATCCAGGGGAACCCCCAGGCATTTGCACAACGATGTTTACAAATCCCCCTTACCCACAAGCAAGATTTGTCAACAAAAAGCTAATAACATCCTTCCAGTGGGGGTAAAGAAGTGTGCTCTGCAAGTCAAAAAGTGCATCATTTCAAAAGACAGTTCTGTTTGCCATCATTAATTTTTTATGTGTTACAATTATATCTATGAGAGTTGATAAAATATAAGCAAAGAAAGCTATTTCACTTGTTTTCTACATATGATGAGGTTCAGCTTACCTTGTAAGCCATGGAATGGGAAAGGAGGGAATATTCTTGTTTCCTGGTAACGAAGAACTAGGATTCATTGAATATGTTTTGAAGTGTTTTATATTAACCAGCAGAAATATAATTAGAAACAAAGTAAAGCTTTGCAATAATTTTTATTGCAAGTAACTAACACAACAATGAAAAGACAATAATGAAAGCTGTTTTCCTGCTCCTATGTTTGTTTACAACACAGAATTAACAGTTTGACACACATCTGATCTACAAAAAAGTAACAGTGTCCAAGCATATTTTGAAACAGTAGAAAAATACTACAGATACCTGGGTTTTAATCGGGTAGATGGCATTAATTTGAAAGAATGAACAGACAGAATTTTGTAATCCTTCCCTACATCAAAGGTGTTACTGAGCCACTCACTCGAATTCTAAAGAGGCACGACATCCAAGTCTTCAACCAACTAGCAAAAACACTGCAGCAACAGGATTTTCCTGTTCCCAAGTTTCAACCTCCTAAAGACAATCAGTGCAATGTTATCTACAAAATCCCGTGAGCATCATGTCAATGGAATTACATCGCCAAAACTAAAAGATCATTTAGCACCAGAAGAAAAGAACATATTAGAAATACAAAACAAAGTGCTAAAGGTTCCAATGTTGCAAAATATGCATGGACTTTTGACCATGTAATCGACTTTGACAACTCCGCAATCATTGACAAAGGAAACCATCACACCAGAAAGATGCTTGAATCATGCCACAGGGCAAAAACTGTTGAGACTGATAACAACTCATGCCCACTCCCAAGGCAAAACAACATTCTTTGAAACAAACATTAATTTTAGCACTTTTAGCATTCTTTTGAACATTCTTTATACATGCAGCAGTTTTACATTTATGCGAATTACTCTCTATATTCAAATTTTTAATGTTTCATTTTATCACATATTTTTATGCATCAAAGACAGTAGACCGGCTGTTGAAAGCTTATGTTTTTAATACTTTTTACCAGAGAACGCTATATTCTTTATTATTATATGGCTCCATCTCACAAGGACCAGGAACTACCAAATTCATGAATTTGATTGGCTGAAATTGATATTGACAGCGGTCTAGATTTTCCAATCTATGACTATATATTAGGTGGGAGATACATTTCATACAGGATCACACTCAAACGATTAGTACTTTTTGTTATGGTAGAACCCAACACGTAAGACGCATGTGTTTCTAGCATGGTTAGGGTTATACACTCCCTTTTCATCCCCAAAGCCACACAGTTTTTTTTTTATGTCCTGTGATGTGGCCGAGGACGGCAGCTATTTTTCAGGTAGCCACACTTCTCCCTTCTAAGTACAAAAAACTCCACTGTAACTTCATGTCTTTTGGAAGAACCTGTGTTTGTTCAACAAATATCATCTGCTGTTTTCAAACTACAGTAGTGTGTTTGTCAGGGTCAGATAAACAAGGGAATCGCATTGTTTTTCTTGAGAGGCTTGTTGATTTCTTCCTTTAATTGTCTCTATAAGGGAGACCACAAATTTCCCGAGTTAGTGGCATTACTTGTCAAGTTGTAAATTTGT